GAACCGGGACCCCCGGGAACTGGGACCCCACTGGATTGGGGACACCTGGGAACCAGAACCCCCGGGAATGGGGACACCATGGGATATGGACCCACAGGACTGGGAACACCCGGGAATGGGGACACCTGGGAATGGGGACATATGGAAATGGGGACTCGAAGGAACAGGGACCCCCAGGAACTGGGACCCATGGGAATGGGGACACCCAGAAACTGGGACCCCTGGGAATGCAGTCATACGGGAACAGGGAGCCTCAGGAATGGGAGCTGGGACCTGCTAGAACCGGGACCCACAAGAGCCGGGATCACCACATGTCCCGGTGCACACACGTGTGTGTCCCGGTGCACACGCGTGTCCCAGTGCACACACATGTCCCGGTGCACACGCGTGTCCCGGTGCACACGCATGTCCCGGTGCACACGCGTGTCCCCGCGCCCGCCCCCGTTCCCGCTCCACAGCCATTCCCAGCCCCGTGCCGGTCTCCTCATCCCCTCCTGCCGCGGTTCCCGCTTGGCGGGCGCTTGCTGACTTCCCGGGCAGCCTCTGATCCGCGGCAGCGGGAGGCGGATGCGGCTCCGCGGCGGCGCCGGCTCCGCGGCGCTTCCCGCTGCCGCTTCCCGCTCCGCGTGTCCCGCATCCCGAGCCCGCCGCTCGCCTCCCCCCGCGTGCCGGGGGCTCCGCCGCGCCRTGAAAAACCCTCGGGGGGAAGGAGGCGCGCAGGGATGGGTGGATGGATGGATGGATGGAAGGATGGATGGATGGATGAGTGGATGGACAGATGGACAGATGGATGGGCGGGTGCACGGATGGAGGGATGGATGGATGGACGGATGGATGGAGGGATGCATAGATGGATGGACGGAAGGGTGCACAGGTGGATGGACAAATGGATGGAAGGATGGACGGACAGACAGATGGACGGACAGATGGATGGATGGAAGGATGGATGGAWGGATGGATGGATGGATGGATGCACAGGTGGATGCACAGGTGGATGGACTGACAGACAGATGGACGGAYGGAGGAAGGATGGATGGAAGGATGGTCGGACGGATGGACGGACGGACGGATGGACGGACGGATGGACGGACGGATGGACGGACGGGTGCCGTGCATGCGGCCTCCCTCTGGAGGCTCCGATCCGGGTACTGGGGTCCCCGGGATCCCCCCCAGCCGCATCCCGCACCCCGCCGCTGTCCCGAGCACCACAAGCGCTCCCGGTTCTGTGCATCCCGCTGCCAGGGTGCGAGCGGAGCCGGAGCCCTTCCCGGATCCGCTTCCCGCTTTCCTGCCTCAAGCCCGGGCTCTTTGCGCCTTGTCCGGAGGCTGCGGCCGTGGCCCCATTCCCGGCCTCCCGCCGGCCCCGCTCCAAAGCTGCCAGGCCCTTTCCTGGCTCCGGATGATCCGGGCATATGGGGGCTCCGCCGGAGGCGCCTTGGCTCCGTCCTGGACGTGGCCGCCGTTCCCGGAGCTGCTCTAGTGCCGGGATGCGGCTCCAGGGAACAAACCTGGCCATAGGGCGGCGTTCCCAGGAGGATACAAGGGGCTGGGAAAAGGTTGGGAACATTTTGAGGATGTGGAAACGCCTTGGAAGCATGGGAACGTTCTGGAGACGGGGGAACAGTGTGGGAACGCGGGAATGGCTTGGGGACACGGGAACGTTTTGGGATCACAGGAACATTTTGGGAACACGGGAACGTTTTGGGAACACGGGAACATTTTGGGAATACAGGAACGTTTTGGGAACATAGGAACATTTTGGGAACATGAGAACATTTTGGAAACACAGGAGTATTTTGGGAACACGGGACCATTTTGGGAACACAGGAACGTTTTGGGAACACGGGAGCACTTTGGGAGCGCGGGAGCACGGCCTGGCTCGGGAAGGCGGGAGCGCTCTCCCCGCTCCGTCCCCGCTCCCGCTCCGTGCCCGTCTCCGCCGAGTGGCTCCGGAGCGGGCGGCGGGGACAAAGGCGGTGCCGGGAACAAAGGCTCCGGCTGCAGCAAATTGAATGCTCGGAGCGCCCGGAGCGCGGCCGGAGCGCGGCCGGAGCGCGGCCGGGGCGCCGCAGGTTAATGGGCCCGGAGGCGTGCGGAGCGGGGAGGGGTGTGCGGGGGCACCGGCGGGGGGGCGCTTGTGCACGGGGGGGTGCGCTTGTGCACGCCTGCGCACGCCTGTGTGCACTTGTGAACAGGTGTGTGCGCTTGTGCACGCCTATGTGTGCTCACGTGCACGCTTGTGCACACCTGTGCACGCTTGTGCATGGTTGTGTGCGCTTGCGCACGCTTGTGCACGCCTGCGTGTGCTTGTGCATGCTTGTTCACACTTGTGCACGCTTGTGCATGCTTGCCCACACTCATGCTCTTGTGCACGCTTGCTCACACTTGTGCACTCATGTGCGCTTGTGCGTGCTTGTGCATGCTTGTGTGCACTTGTATGTGTGGTTGTACACGTGGTTGTGTGTGTGGTTGTACGTGCGGTTGTGTGTGTGGTTGTGTGTGTGGCTGTACGTGTGGTTGTGTGTGTGGCTGTACGTGTGGTTGTGTGTGTGGTTGTACATGTGGTTGTGTGTGTGGTTGTGTGTGTGGTTGTACGTGTGGTTGTGTGTGTGGTTGTACGTGCGGTTGTGTGTGTGGCTGTACGTGTGGTTGTGTGCGTGCTGCCTGGGTGATTCTGCACGGTTGTGCGTGTGCATGAGGGCAGCCCGAGACCTCCCCAGTGCTTGTGCACGCTTGTGCACACTTGTGCACGTGGCCTTACATGCACTCTTGCACAGGAGTGCACACAAGTGTGTGCAGGTGAACCCCAGGTGCTCTTGCACACTCGCTTGTGCACGCGGCCACGTGAGTGCCTTGCACGGGCACTCGTGCACGGGGCCGTGCACACACCCTTGCATGGGCACTCGTGCACAGGGCTGTGCACACACCCTTGCACGGGCACTCGTGCACAGGGCCGTGCACACACCCTTGCACGGGTACTCGTGCACGGGGCCGTGCACACACCCTTGCACGGGCACTCTTGCACGGCCACTCGTGCACAGGGCCGTGCACACACCCTTGCACGGGCACTCGTGCGCGGGGCCGTGCACGCACTCTTGCACGGGCACTCTTGCACGGCCACTCGTGCACAGGGCTGTGCACACATCCTTGCACGGGCACTCGTGCACGGGGCCGTGCACACACCCTTGCACGGCCACTCGTGCGCGGGGCCGTGCACGCACTCTTGCATGGGCACTCGTGCACAGGGCCGTGCACACACCCTTGCACGGCCACTCGTGCACAGGGCCGTGCACACACCCTTGCACGGGCACTCGTGCACAGGGCCGTGCACACACCCTTGCACGGGCACTCGTGCACGGGGCTGTGCACACACCCTTGCACGGGCACTCTTGCACGGCCACTCGTACACAGGGCCGTGCACACACCCTTGCACGGGCACTCGTGCGCGGGGCCGTGCACACACCCTTGCACGGGCACTCGTGCACGGGGCTGTGCACACACCCTTGCACGGGCACTCGTGCGCAGGGCCGTGCACACACCCTTGCACGGGCACTCGTGCACAGGGCCGTGCACACACCCTTGCATGGGCACTCGTGCACGGGGCCGTGCACACATCCTTGCACGGGCACTCGTGCACAGGGCCGTGCACGCACTCTTGCACGGGCACTCGTGCGCGGGGCCGTGCACACACCCTTGCACGGCCACTCGTGCGCGGGGCCGTGCACACACCCTTGCACGGGCACTCGTGCGCGGGGCCGTGCACACACCCTTGCACGGGCACTCTTGCACGGCCACTCGTGCACAGGGCCGTACACACACCCTTGCACGGGCACTCTTGCACGGCCACTCGTGCACAGGGCCGTGCACACACCCTTGCACGGCCACTCGTGCACAGGGCCGTGCACACACCCTTGCACGG